CAAAGTTTTAAAAATATTTTAATAAAAGTATTTTCTTTATAAAAGCTAAAATTTTTAATTTTTATTTATTTTTATAACATTAAGAAAACTTTATATAAATTTATATTTAAAACATTTATTTATATATTTAAATACATATTATTTATTTATAAAAAAATCATAAATTTAAAGTTGAAAATTTTGGATATATTTAATATTTTAATTATTAAAAATGAAATTTTATTTAAAAATAATATATTTATAATAAATTTTTACATTATAATTAATTGAAAATCATGACTAAATTTGAATGAAAATCATTACTATTTAAAGGAAAGGTTATAAAGTTACTATTAGATTATACAATTAGGTTATGAAGTTATCATTAAATTATGTGATTAGGTTATGAAGTTACTATTAGACTATAACGTTATCATTAGATATTATTGTCTTATTTAGATTATAACGTTCCTATTAGATTATAGTATTCCCACGTAATCTGATCCAAGTCACCAGCAACTTTTTGATATAATTATATCAAAGAGTTGTTGGTGACTCAATTTCTTAAAACTCTCAAGGGTTACAACTTGATATATTTTATCCAAAATATAGTTTCATTATCGAAGTGCAAGAAGAACAGCATAAAAAATATATTAAATCCTTTCATAAAAGCGATCCTAATAATTTTATCAAACATCAAACAGGATTTAAAAGTGATGAAACAGCAATTTTTTTCAATTTATCTTATATTCAAATAGAGCTAAAAGAAAGCAAAAAGGTATTAGAAATCCAATTTTTACACAGTAAGACATATCATACTGTATATTGCAGGCTATAGTACCTTGGATTCTTTGCAAATTTTAAAGATTTTTAGCTGTATCTGGGGGTACATTATACTGGTGGATACTATACATAGGGGGGATACAGAAATTGTAAAGTATCCTGGATACTTATTATGTATAATATCTTATTATGATAAATAAATTTAAATAATAAATAACTAATGAATTAAAGTTACGAAGGAATGCTTACTCTTAGTCAGATATAGATTAATTTATAACTATTGATCTCAAATATCACGTAGAGGTAATAAACTTCATTCAGGTTTTTTTAACAGAATTCGAAAAAAAATTTATAAAAAAAACTGAGTGAAAAGAGATAAGTAAAGATAATGGAAAAGATAAAGGAAAGAGAGACTAGTTAAATTATAAAATATGAAAAAAGAATAAAGGTAGTTGGTAAAAGAAGTGACAATAGTTGGAAAGACAGATTATTGAGAGTTAGGATTATTTTGAGTTTCAGATTGAGAGGATTGAGAGGATGCTAAAAAATTTAAATTTAAATTTAGGTTCAAATAATATTGATATTAACTGAATAAATTTCTTACCTTGAACTATTTTTTCTCTTTCTTGAGCTATTTTTTCTGTTTATTGTACTATCAATATGCTTTATTTGGTCATAAATTCCTGATGGTCTCTGAATTTCACAAAGGTAGTTCCGCTTTTCTTAATCCATTTTTTGGAATAATTCTGGCTATGTTTACTTTATAGATTCATGGATGGTAGTGATGCACAAATGATAGTTATACGTGTAGAATATGCTCATATATAACAAGAGTTCTCTGATCCTAAAGACCAAAAAAATGTGATAGTAATGAAAATGAGCAGATAACAATATTATCTCTTAGATTTAGAGATTTGCTTTAGTAGTATTCCATAAAAAAAGATCTGCTTTAGTGATATTAATGTTATGCCATATCTCCAAATACATCACGAATTAGTACTAAATTCCTTAATATTTTCTTAGATTCAGAGCTCAGCCAGCAACAGAAATCGATAAAAGTTAGTTTATTAGTTTATCTAATTCTAGTCACATATTTTGAGAATTTCATCATCAGTATTCTTTCGCAAATTTTGGATTAATGGCCCTTGTAATTTTGACAAAAGATTTTAATTCTATCATTTATTTTAAAAAAAACTTTAACAAAAAAAAAAATACAATAATTTTTTTTTTTTTAATATTATTAATTTGGAAGAAAATTCTAAAACTAGTAATACATTTCCACTTTATATCAACAAAAGAATAATTCTAATTCATTACATTACAATTTATTTCAAACATCAGAAACCTCTTAATTATTTATCTAATTAACTAATTCTCGAGACATCTCGAGACAACTTTATCAGATTATTCCGAGTTGCAATTACGATAATGGTAATTATCGAATTTGTTAAATAAAAATTTATAGCAATTCACAAAGATTATACATAATATTTTGTTAAATTTTCATAGCCTTAATTATGAAAGAGTCAGACACCATATTGAGACCTTAAAAATAGAAAAAATCTTAATTTAAATGGACTGAAAAAAAAAGCATAATTATCGTTGGTTTTGTTTTCAGTCATAAAAATAATAGAAAATTAGTAGAATTGGCAATATTAAAAAAGAGCATTGAAAGTATGGCATTATTTATGAGTGCGAATTTAAGTAAAAATATCAAGCAAAATTGTAAAGTAAATTTATTAATAAAAAATGTTTGATTAGTTAAATTAATTTAGTATATCCTGGTTAACGCGTAGAATCATAAAAATGTATATGGTAAAATATTAGTGGCATGTTAGCATTAATTACAAAATTCGATATGCTAAAAATATTTTTTCTGTTTCCTTTTATTTATATTTGTTTTTATTTATTTATTTATTTTTTTTAAAGAATAATCTCTCACCAAATAAAAACGGAATAATAAGTAATTTATTGCTGAAATAATTCTCAACCAATTTACAAATGAAAAAATTTTCAATATCAGGTTTAGGATTCTGACCTTTAAAATAGAGAAACTTGACTTATTTAAATGCTATTAAAAATACTGATTAGTAATTTTAAAAAACGATCACCAGACGGTCATAACGGCCGGTCAAGACCGGTTATGATATCGGGTAATTTCAAAGATGCAATGCCGATCAAATTACTAATTTACAAAAAAAAATTCCATTCTTAGTAGGCAATTACATCACTATTTGTTAAAAAAGTATAAATAGGGTAAATATAAAAAAATTTTTCATCATCAACCTCATTTAAAAAAGATTATTAGGAATATGCCAAATATAACCACATACATTTCTAAATATGAACCAGGACAATTTGATGACGCACCCGAAGATTACGATGATGATGAAATACGAATAAATAATGAATTGAATAATGATGTCAAAGAAATTATTAATGAAGAATTTGATGATGATGATGATTTTGATGATTATTTTGAAGATGAATTGAATGATAATGAAGAATGGGATAATGTACGTGGTGGTAAGCAAAGGAATATAAATTTGTTTGATAAAGTTATTTTTTGTTTTTATTAAGTAATGTCATTTTAAAAATTTGTTCGTCGATTAAAGATTTTACTAAACAGTATAATCGTCTAAGACGAAAATTACAAGTAAATGCGTCTGGCGCATCTGTTTCAGCTACAGGTCAAAGAACACCTGTCGTTATTAATCCTAAAGGAGGTGCATTTACAGTAGTTCGAGGAGCTTCAACCGAAGCTAGAAACAAAGCTGTTCAAGATCAAATGAAAAGTTTGAGCAAATACATAAAAAGGATTCATCTTGGTAAGATTATATTAAGCACTAAATTGAGAAATGGTTTATTATTCATTATTTATTTATTTTTTTTTTTTTTAGACGAAGCTCCAGATGGTCAATTATCTGTTTCGGTAACTAATGATATCAAGATGAGCAACAAAAAGGCACAGGGCGACAAGTACGTCTATTAACTTTTATAATTTTTATGTAACATCTTCACATCATGAATAAGGTGTATACTGTTATCAAAGGCAAAAGTATAGCGATAAATCCGATCGTGCTACGGTGGAACAAGTGCTGGATCCTCGCACGAGGATTATTTTATTCAAGATGATTAATCGTAATATAATTTATGAAATCAATGGATGTATAAGTACTGGGAAAGAGGTGAGCGTAAAAGGATTATACATTGTAATCGTTTTGTTGGACAAACATAAATAATTTTAAATATTAATGTTAATAGGCAAATGTATATCATGCAATTACAGAAGATGGTGCTCATAGGGCTATTAAAGTTTATAAAACTTCAATTTTAATATTTAAAGATAGGGATCGTTATGTTACAGGAGAATATAGATTTAGACATGGTTATAGCAAACATAATCCAAGAAAAATGGTCAAATTATGGGCGGAAAAAGAAATGAGAAATTTAAAAAGATTGTGGCAAGCCGATATTCCGTGTCCTGAACCTCTTGTATTAAGGTTACATGTTTTAGTTATGAGTTTCCTTGGAGACAAAAATGGATGGTATGTTGAAAAATTCAATGACATTTGAGAAAACATTTTTATATAAAAATTTTTAATCATTTTTTTTTTAAAAAAAAATTATGTTTCTAGGGCATACCCCAAATTAAAGGATGCTGTAATCAATGCTGACAAATATCCAGAGTTATATTACCAACTTGTAAAGGTTATGAGAATAATGTATCATAAATGTCGTTTGGTTCATGCTGATTTAAGTGAATATAACATCTTGTAAGTCAAATATAATTTTTTTATTTTTTTTATTTTACTTCAATATTTTTTAATTTAAATAATATTTGTTTCGATAAATTTTCAGATATCATTCCCGCACTTTATACATTATTGATGTATCCCAATCGGTAGAACATAATCATCCACACGCTCTTGAATTTTTAAGAAAAGATATTTCAAATGTTACAGAATATTTTAAGAAGAAAGGCGTGAGAACAATGAGTATAAGAGAATTATTTGATTTTATCACTGATGTTACTATTGGATTAGATAATGAACAGGTTGAAGCTGAACTTGATAAGGTAACTATTTTTATTTTTACAAAAAGCTACTATTTTAAGCGAACTTTTCTGAAAGTGCGTTATATATATATATTATTATTAGATTCAAAGAGGATTAATTTCTCAACAAGAAACATCAACATCATTAAATGATGACCCTGATAAAATATCTAAAGATTCAGTTGATGAAGAAGTTTTTAAGAAATCTTTTATCCCAAGAACCTTGGAAGATGTATTTGATGTTGAAAGAGATACTTTGAAAGTTTCTAAAGGCGAAGGCGATGATGTGAGTTGGACAGAATCGGATTTTTGTTTATTTATAAAATATTAATAATATTAACGTATTTGCTTAGTTGATTTATCGTGGACTTTTTATTGATGATAAAAAACCTGAAACAATATCAAGTGAGAGTAACGTAGAAAACATTTCAAATGTTTCTGAAAGCGAAGATGATAGTCAAGAAGATGATTCCGAAAACCAAGAAAGTGAAGGAGAACGGATGCTCAAGAAACAATCAAGGGGAAAACGGAATGAAGACAAGGAAGCTAAAAAGGTATGAATTCATTAAATCATTTTGAATAAAATGTTTCTTTTATTCTAATGACTTTTTTTTCCTTTTTGTTAGGAGCGAAAGAAAGTTGCAAAAGAAGAAGCAAGAGAAAAAAGAAAGAATAAAATGCCTAAGGCTGTTAAAAAACGTAAGATTAAGACCACATCTGGAAAAAAATCCAAATAATTTATGTATTCGAATTATTGAACTAAATTAAAAACTTTAAAATTGGCAATCAAAACGACAAACCGTTTAAAATATCATTTTTTTTTATTTTGTTGTAACCAAACATTTTAACATTGTATCTCATAAAATCACCTTAATTCTAAGGACTTATACTCGATTTCACATAATTCTGAAAGGATAATTAACTTCCGAAGCTATCTTGCCGTTCATAGTAGAACATTAGAACCAGCTGCATATTTGTTGCTGATCGAACTATTGTTTTTATATTCGATTTAATTATATAATATTATAATAATTGATGTTGGACCACACGTGATGTCGATTACGTAATGTAATTGTAAATACAATTGTTGATTTTATCCTTTTGTAACTGATCAACATCACTTTTCTCCTTTTTAGCAAACAATAGAATATACCATGATTTTTATTTTATGCCATATCAAAATATAAGCGCGGTCATAATGCTTGACAACAATTTGTTCAATGTGTCCTCTTGTTAATGCTGAATTATCGCTTAATGCTTCCACGCTAGCAGCCAAGTTTCAAGTTTTAATTTAATAGTAAATTAGTAGCCAACCTAAAAAGATTACGATCAATATATGTTAATTGTACGTGAAAATTCACGACCAGTTTTATTCTATTTGTCGTCTTACTTCCACTTGTTTATGACGCATCTACTATTAAACGTACGGTTCCAAAGACTTTTAGCAATTTATCGCTTATGGTCATAAGTAATGGACAAATTTCAGCTTCGAGTGGCTTAATAAATTATATACTGTATTTTTAAACTGGGAAATTCGACAGATGAACGTTAATTTAAAAATTATTTCCTGCCTTAAATATTCGAAAATTTAATTTAAATTAAAAAAGAAGAAATGTATTATGAAATGAATCATTAAATTGTGCCAAGTAAAAAAATGATTAATTCAAATGACCCAAAAATTTACATTATGTTATGCCCTTTGCCAGCATCAATTAATATTGATTCCTTTAGAATTTTTGAAACTACCGACTTTTTTTTCATTACTGGATGTTAAGAGTTTAGACAGTTATTTGTTAAATATGATGAATTAATAGATTTCATTAAAGAAGAGAATAGAAAAAAAATCTACAACTTAATAAAAAAAGAAAAATACTAATTATACTGAACCTTTCCAAGGATCTTTAATTAGAAATAGAACATATGAATCCCCATACACTGAAACCATATGTAATGCCATTCTGTCAGTCAGTGTTCTCATCATAAAATAAATGATATGTTAGTGCATTGCAGGAATGTCACTGAAAAAAACTTGAATCCGTAAAATATAATGAGTAGAGAAATACATATAAATATGTATTTCGTTATAAAGTCTATTTAATCAAATTGTCAAAGTTACGCAAAATTTTATTTACTCAAAGAAGTAGTTATTGGTCTTGGGAAAACTTTATTATATGAATCAATTGATGACTATATATGAAACCAGATATATATATTATTTATTTATTCAAGATCCGATTAATAATGGATTTTTGCAATATCCCTCCTTCAAATTTTCAGATGGACAAATGATAAATTAATCTATAGATTAATTTCAGGACAACTCTCACAAAAAGTTTAGCAAAAAAACCTAGATTCGGCAATTATATTTCAACGATACCGACGAAACCTGAGAGCTTTGGCCGCAATCTGTTTAGTTTATACGTCTTCAATGACGCAGATAAAATCTTCCGGATTCCCTGAAATGAAAGATAGTATATTCTCGGAAAAATATGTCAGTGGCAAAGCCACATTGTATCACAATAGATTCAGATATATCAGACATAATGTTGGTTGGTTAACAAACATATACGTGGCGAATATCCGTATTGTACTATAAGTTAATTTTATACATTTTAACCAATAAATCGGAAGTAATTTCGGAAAACTCCCCTAGAAACACCATCAAAAAAGCTCGGGTCATGTGAATATATATGTATAATGTGGCTAATTTTAATAAATCAATCTTAAATGTGGTCGATTTTGTGTAGTTTCGAGAAAGAAATATATTTGTTATAGAGAACTTTCACCTTTTCGATTCAGAGATCAGATCCTTGAACCGTGACACTCCTTATCTGAAAAGATTTTTTTATTTATTTTATGCAAATGGTTAATCGGAGAGCTTGTTTTCCGCAAGCTGAGGTCGTAGAATTTCTTCAATTACTGAAGTTCGAAAATATGATTCAAAGCAACAGCACTTCCATACATTGAAATGGGATATTCGTATTTGTTAATTTTGGCTTAACACAATGCTTTTAAATCGTTCTTTTTTATATACAACTTTTTGCAAAATTTCATCATCGTTCGTTTGCTGAAAAACAAAAATCACGTTTTACGAAATATTCATGAAGATAATTTTGTCAAGAAAAGTTTTGAACAAACATAATAAATCTCGAAACTGTATTAGCAAAGTAAATGCGATTGATTGAGATGAAATTTTGAAATGACTTCATTTTGTATTATAAATGAAGGATGAGAGAATTTGTATGATTTAAGGAAAATATGGATATTTTCATATTTGTGGATTAATAAAGTTCTTAATTAAATTGCAAATATTTTATATGATTATGAAAATGGCAGGGGGGTAAAATAGTTATATATTGGATAGTTGTGATAGCTTTTATAGGATCATATTTTCGCTCATCCCTAATATATCATTCAGGATTATGACTTTTGGATAACGGCTATTGTGATTTAAGGTTGATATTTATTCGGTATTTTAACACGGGATTATTTACTTACAGGATTTCGAGTTTCGGGATTTGAACGATTCGAATATATTTACAATATTGATTTATTTGATTCAAAATCCAATACTATACTGTATAATTAACTATCTATTGACATAAATATCAAAATATCCGCACAAGTTACAGAATGCTTACAGTAGGAACGTAAAGTCTATAAAATGTTGACCTGTATGTCGAAAATAGAAAAAACAATCACCGCGTCGAAACTCAATCGACTTGAAAATATGAAGTGAAAGAGAAATTGGGTGTTTGCTATTAAAATAAGTTACGAAACATAGTAAATAGTAATTTTAATAACGAGCCTCCCATATTCAACTAACGGAATCGTAGATTGTTTGATGAGTAGCTCACGTAATTATGTGATAAACGTTCTTTTAATTATAAAAATTTCTTTTTTATTGTCCCGAATTAAACATAGTTTTAGTCAATAAAAGAAGAAATTATTATCGCGGTGGAGGACAAGAAATATCAATGTACTAATCACATTACTGTTAACGTATAATAATCGAATTTATTTTAATTTGTAAATAAATAGTCAAATAGTAAATGCCCGATATTTATATTGAGAGTTATTATTATGGTTTAAATAAGCGAAGATTAGGTCCAACAAACCGTATCTATTAATTAAAGAAGTAATTTTAGTCATAATATATCATGTACATTTAAAGGCTTTGTAGTTCATTCATTGCATTAGTTATTTCTTTATTGGAAGCAAAAAGTTTAAGAAAAATTTCATGTAAAACACTTTAACCTTTCGAATTTGAATTTTATCATTCTCCGATAAAAACATTATTAAAATATTATTCATTAATACTTTAATTATTTTTTACATTAAAACATACTTCTTCGCTAACTTTAGGTTACACATTCAAGTAAAATTAATTCTATGGAATAAATTCGATTTAAGAGTTTTAAGTATTCGTAAAGACATTATTTAATCGCTCAAGAAGTTAGGATTGCATTATTCCGGTACATAGGCTTCGACCCAATACATGCGGCATGCAATAAAATGAAATGCAGTAACCTCATTAATCATTAGTTGGTCATAATAAACCAAGAATTTCCGAATCAAAATTTATAAAAAAAAAAAAATAATAATCCATATACAATTCATCAAGATTTAAGATCAGAAAATATTTAATATTTAAGACATTTGTATTTTCTGGCGTAGGCGATATTAGTAAATAGTAAAAGTAATAATTTGACAATTTTGAAATATCAAACCGTAAAATATTGAGCAAAAAATACGAGTTATGTATATCTAAATCAGTCTCACTCTGTAAAGTCTATATTAAGATATTCTGAAATTAAACTATCACCAGTTTTAACCCGTTTTCCTATAAATTTAATTAAAAAAAAAAAAAAATCAATTTTCATAAAAATGTAGTAAAATTGTAAATATAAAATTTTCACTTACCCTTAACTTGAGAGTTGATTTCTGATTCTTCAATATCACGTTTTCTTGAAAAATTTTCAGATGAAATCGATGAATTTATTGGAATATTATAAGTTCCACTTTGATGCAGTGTATTTGAAGCATTCTGAGTTGATGACTTTACATCTATTGCAGGTTGCCTATAAAATTCATTAAAAAAATATAAGGTTTCTAGCAAATCTTCATTTTAAAGAAAATTAATTTATTACAATACCTTGAAATATCAAATTCCAATTCATTAGAAGTATATTCTAATGAATAAAAAATTCAAATAAAATAATTAGTTAAACCTAATTGGCATGTACTGTATTTTCATAAAAATTTTACCATTTAATGATAAATTAGCGTAACCTGCGTCTTGATACTGGATATTAGAATTTTTATTTGCTAAAGACGAACTAGATATTGCATATATTATAAATTAATTCAATTTAATATGGATAAACAACATATTAATAATTAAGAAATTATATTACCTTTGAGTATTTATATCATATTCATATTCCTTTGAAATATATCCTAGAATAGAAATAGATAAATATTAATAGACGGAAAAATTAATATTTGATAAACCCACACCACATTATATAATTTATACCTTGTTTCATATTAAGTGATTTCATAAGTGATTTCATAGAAAAAGCTCTACTTGTATATATTGATTTTGGATGCTTTTCAGTAAATTCAGGACCAAGTTTCTTTAATTTTATTAATTCTAATCGTTGTATTTCAGC